TTTTATTGTTTGAATCATGTCCGTCTTATACGTTCGTACCTTTATTTATTTATTTTTTTTTCATGTCCGTGTTATGTTTTCGTTATTTTATTTTTTTTAAATCTTCTCCGTCATATCGTTTATAAATTCGTTCATGTCCGTCTAATGTGTTTGTTGTTTTATTTGTTTAAATCATACCCATCTTATGCGTTCGTAATTTATCTGTTTGAATCACGTCTTATACGTTCGTTCGCGTATTGCGGACTCGCGATCAAAGGCTGGCAGTGTGGCGGCTGGTTCACATGTAACGCCGTGTATATGCACAGAGAGGATTTTTTGGGCGGGAGAGACAGGAAACCTGTCTTTTTGTTCTGCGAGGTTGTTCACGAAGTAAGTGCATTTTGGTTATCACAAATAATAGGCCTTATTTTGTCTTAATAAAATACAGTAGGGTAGGGCCCCGGGCTTAACCTAGGCCCTAGTTTGGAAATGGTGTTCTTATTAATATTAAGGAGAAATTTCTGGGCAGTATAAATTATTAATATAATTTAAGGGCTAGGCCTAGGCCTAACCTATCCATTCCTAGGTTAGGGCTAATGCCTAGCTGGCCTAAACTACCTAGGAGCTAGCAATTAAGCAATGCCTACCTAGCTAGGGCTAGGCCTAACTTAAACCTAACTTAGGCCTACTGCTAGGTGGTACAGGCCTACGTACATAGAAGGCCTAGGCCTATAATTCTCCTGATAATAGTGATGATACCTTTTTGGTCATCCATTTTGGCCATGTAGCAGTCGTAAAATTGAGTCTCCGGGTCCAAAAATGCCTCTTTTATGCAAAAGCATTCATTTTTGGGAAAAAATACTAACCCTCTGTATTTCAGTGACTGTTAGTGATAAAGAGTTCATTTTGGTACCAAAATGTTCTGAAGGATCATGTTTGTATTTGCTGTATAATAAAACATTTTCCCCAGAAACAACCAGGAAAAAAATTTTTACCAAAAAACATGTTTTTTTTCCAAGCCATCGATTGTTTCAACTTATTAAAGGTGGCTGATGACAGCTGAAATGACAATAAAGCACAAAAAAAAATTCTAATACAGTAGTTTGTGCATACAAATTTAATTGATTTAACTTCAAAAAAGCCGGTTTTGGTAAAATTTTCCAAAAATCAGGAAAAATCCGTAACTCAGTATTTATCAGATTGTGTTGAATTTGGTCTCAAATTACTCAGAATACAAGTGTATTTCTATTTGCTTTAATTGAACATTTTCTTCAAATATAACCAGGGAAATATTTATAACAAAAAACCCCATTTTTAGCCTGGGCAAAAAACATGATTTTAATAATGTTGTTATTTTCAATAAATAAGTATATGAAATCTGTCAAATTTAACTGAATTTTTTTGAACATCAAAACACAAATATCAAGCAATATGACAACGCTGGAAATCAAAAAGGCAACATTGCATTATTGAAATATTAATTGCAGTTCTTCGTACGGAACTGGGGTCGTTTAGCAATGTGTGGCCTACATTACATATTATCTATTTAAAGGCCATCAAATGTTCACTCAATTCTGGCAAATGAGTTAAAGTGACATTAATAAATCACAAACAAATATATATTTTAAAGTTTTATACTTTATCCAAAAAAATATATTTAATTTTACTTTAAAAACATCAGTTTTGGTAAACTTTTGCAAAAATCAGGTAAACTCTGTAAAGGCCTGTTTATACTTCAACGATAACAATAAAAAAGCTAAAAATTGTTCATATAGAAAATAAAAGAAATAAGAGAAGTTTGTACACTAGAAAGGTTCGATAACGATTTATCAGTTATGCGATAACAACATATTTTGACAAATCAAATTAGATGACGTCATAATCATGGGAAAACATTAAAATCGTTATAGTAGCAATGATTTTATCGTTTGTCCATGATTATGATGTCATCTGATTTGATTGTTAAAATATTTTGGTATTGCATACACGATAAATCGTTATAGAATCATCCTAGTGTAAAAACTTCTTATTTCTTTTGTTTCCTATATGAACAATTGCTTTTTAGCATTTTTATTGTTATCGTTGAAGTGTAAACAGGCCTTAACTCTGTTAGTATTTTTTAGGGCATTTGAATTTGGTCTCAAATTACTCAGAATACATGTATTTCTATTAGCTTTAATGGAGCAGTTTTATCCAAAAATAACCATGAAATTATATTACCAAAAACCTCATTTTTTGGCCAAAAAATATAATTTTTTAATAATTTTCATATTTTCAAGGCCAACAAATTTTTGAAATCACTCAATACTAGCAAATGAGCTAGAGTGACATTGATAAATCACAAAATAAATATATATATTTTAAATTTTTATACTTTGTCCATAAAAATATATTTTTACTTCAAAAACATCTGTTTTGGTAAACTTTTTGCAAAAATCATTAAATAATCTGAAACTCTGTTAGTATTTGTGCAAGGGAGTTGAATTTAGTGTCAAATTGTTTGCGAAGCATATTTTATTAGGCCTACTGTAGCTGTCTGGATTATGGAAAATTTTCTCCCAAAATTAATTAATTACCAAAAGACACACTTTTACAGCAAAAAACATTTTTTATAATGTTCATATTTGCAAGGCCATCAAATTCTTTAATTCATTAAATACTGGCAAATTATAGATAAAATGACATTAAATAATAATTTTACCCTATCCATAAAAATACTTGAGTTTAATTTGAAAAAGATGGTTTTGCAGACTTTGTCATTTAAGGTGCACGCTCACGCTCGCGCACCTAAATTGCTATCGAGGGGGTGTGAAAAACAGCTCGTCTTACATTTCAAAATAACTCGCCTCCACAGCCCTATTGATTTAAAACGACACACCAGTAAACGTTAAAGTTGCATGGTTAGATTAAGTGAAAATTACACCTTCCATTGTTTAAAGTACAAATGGCTCCTTAAAAATAGACAGAACTCAAAGCAAGTTTCTACAATAGCTGACTCTTTTTTAGTAGACGTTGATTTGGATGTCGTTAAATTCATCAGTGTAAATTAAAAAATGCATAGCTTCACTTATTCGTCAAACAAGACACTTTTAAGAAACATGTTGCTAATTTAATATAGGAAATTTGTAGAGAATAAAATTTAAATTTGTTAGATTTATTGAGATTTAATTTATGAATAAAGTTCTGTCAGCAAGCTGTCACGCAATAAAACTTTGGGCGATCTGAGGTCATCTCAGTTAAGCACATGTTTACACATGACCCCATAAAAAAAATTAACCAATTAGCTGGCAGAGTTTCGGAGGCACAACCTGATGTTTACAACAACCGCCCAGCAAAGTGGCATCATGACTAAGAATGTGTTGGGGTTTAGGGAAAAAATATTAGACTGAAAATGCATGTAAAAACAATATAAAAGCATTCGTTTTATTTGTAATTTAATTTGCTGTACAGTACAGCAAAACAACAGGTACTGTACGTACACTGTATGTATGTTAACTTTTTGTATGCTAGTCATACCGAACCCACAGGACTCTTGCTAGCTAGGCCTATGCCTAGTAATAGTGTTACGCTAACCAAACTTTCCGGAAATCCGAACATCGTAACCGGCCCCGAGGTGTTGGGGGTGGGGGGCGGTATTGGGAGAGTGCACTTTATTATTTCTCGAGTAAATATTGGAAGTTAAATTTGTTGTCTTGTTGACTCATGCTGATTGCACTGTATAGCGGATGAACGTTCATCTGCAGTATTTCTTTAATCTCCCTTCCCCTTCCCCCACCCCTCGCCATCCCGCAAAATAATCACTCGCCTGATAATTATGGTGAGTGTTTTATTGCTCGCCTGCCATTTTTAAATGACAAGGCCTGGTTTAGGTAAAATTTTGGTATAACTCAGGAAGAAAACTATGTTTTGCGACAGAGTTAAAATTTGGTCTGTTATAGAATATTTTCTAAAAAAGTTACAACATAAAACATATTTATAAAAACCCTGTTTTTAGCTCAAATAATATGATTTATATATTTAACATGGTGAAAAATGGCTGCACCCTTGTGGTGTTGATCGATGATGTGGCGGGAGAGATGCAAAATGTGTAAACAAACAATATTAATAATAATAATAATATTAAACCTTATACCTTATTAATTATAGCTATTATTATTAAATTATAAATAAAAATTTGTACACAATCTAACATTAAAAATAAGCGTAACATCAATTTAGCGTTATGTCAGTTACCAATGGGCCATTATAAAAATGTTTATATCTTTAAAAAAATTTAATAAAATTTTAATCTTTGACCTTCTAGTACTAAACATCGACTTGCTGATTTATTGATTCAATTTCTGCTATTTTACAGCATTTGAAAAGTTGGAAGATTTAAAAACAAACAAAAAATGTTTTTACTATAAATTTCGATCATTGGGGTCGTCATTTTCACCTACCTGTCATTTAGGGTAATTTATACTGCCCAGTATTTTCCTGGAGCCATTTTGCCTACTTTTGGCCATACTGTGGATGCTTTTGGAATAGGCCAATTTTAATATTGTAGGCCTAGGCTATATTTTAAGTGCAGGATTATTATCAATTTATGTCAAATAACATTATTTACCAAATTTTATTTACCATAGTCCTATTCTGTAATTAAAGAAAATGGAGTTGAACCTACTAAAGTGTATGCTAAAGGAAGGGGTGAAGCAGGAAACTAGATATCCTACTGGATGAAGAGGTCAGTAAATCAATAAAACATAGAAAACAAAATATTAACTTGTTACTTGTGCAGACATTTATTGCAGAATATGTGGCCAAGATATTAATAAGGTTAGAGGATTTTGATGTAGAGCTAGTCTAGGCCTCATTATTTGAATTTACGAAAATCATATTTGTGTGACTAAACACTTTGACTTTTTTTTTTAGGAATTTACTCTGATTTATTGAAATAATCACTGACGAATATCTAAGTGAACTTTAGTAAATTGTTTATGATGCAAGTACCGTACTTAAATTCATGGTTATATTTTAATTAAAGCTGGATTCTATCGAACTGGTAGCAAATGCTAGTGACAATCTTTTGAAGTCATGTGGAATCAAAGCCGGGCAAATAGCAAGGGTGCGGATTGCAGTTGGAATTGTTAGAATAAATCCCAAAGAGAAGCAGGTAAGTGTTAAGGTACATACTGTATGTGTACATCCCCAGAAAGGCAACCCTGTGACTAACACAACACAACAATATTGTTTGTTCAAAGGATTATCATTGGGGATTAACTCAGCAAGACACGCTATTATTGGTGGAATAAACAGCAGCGTTACGTCCATGGAATAACAAAATCTTAGGGTGTGTTAGGGCGAGAACTGGGAAAATATACATAGGGTTCTTACTGGTATTGTATGCGCGGGTGATCTACCGGTTCGTGCAGAACTCGGCTTTCAAAAAACTATTAACCTCTGACGGAAGACCTAAGGTATTAGGCTAATGATGAGTTTTATCAATTTCCCTGGACCCTTGCGTCACCCTCAAGCTTTAATAAAGAAACAGACATTAGCATCTGTGCACTGCATAATGTTTTTTGACTCAAAATCAAGTAATGAAATGACCGAAGAAGCTACAACAATAAGCTTCCTAAAGCAGGGCCTACATTGAAAACTCCCGATAAATCGCAGATGTGCATTTTGGGTGTATAAACCCAGAATAGACAGAAAATTACCATTGGTAAACGAATAAGCAGTGGTACCATGCTGTGGACATATGTAATAGGGTCTAGATTCTAGGCAAGCCCTCCGTTAAAATAATTTATTCTATTGAGATTTTCAGTTTTGTTTTTGGAATTAAACTGTAAAAGAGGCTGGGACCATTAAAATTTAAACAGACTATTTCTGATACGTGTTAAAACAATTAAAGTTCAATCGAAAAGGGATTAAGTGATAAAGAACTTGTGCTCCCTTTTTGGGATGTGATGCAGCCTATGCACCGGGTATCAACCTACTCTTAAATTCCAGATTGCGAACCGGAGCGAAAATTGTACTTAAAAAAAAGGTATGGCAGGCTACCCAATTTTATTACAAAGTCTAGCTAGTTTTGCTGACCTATTGTAATCACTCTCTACAGTGCTGTAATAGGACAGACTACTGTGACGTCTGGTAACTGGGAGGCGTACGTAATAGGAAGAATGCTACGCCAGTTAAATTACAGTAAACAAAAGTATTACAACTCAGGGAAACCTGTGTGTAACCATGTGTGTTTTATCCTCGTATGATCTCAAGCACTGAAAAAAGTAATCATTTGTTATTTTTTGGCCTTCAAGTCAGGTTACCAATTGTCTTTTAACTTAAATAGCATTTGACGAATTAACTCAAAGTGTAACTATTGCAGTAGCACGTTAGATTCAACTTAGGCAAGTTAAAATGTGAGTTGTATACCATAAAACACGCAATAAATCAATAAAAAAAAAGCTGCCTTTAATTTTTTATTTGTCTTTATGTTTTCTTTTAATATCTTATCCTAGTTATCAGATACTGCAAGCGAAGCATCCCCCTCATCTTCCCAAGGTCTGAATACTCATTACTTGTTTTTTGAAGACTCGCCTTCTTCCCAAGACTCGCTTTCACAAGACTCATTACAAGACCTACCAACCACACCTGGTAGGCCTACCTGTGCAAGTTATAAAAGAAGCAAAGATTAAAAAAAAATCACCAGCTGCTACATCTTTGGATGCCGTGTCAGGCCAGCCGGCCTTTTCCCATCTCGATAAAGAACAAGAGAAAGACTGGTGTACTAAATTTCAGCTGCCTACCTCAGTAAGTATTTTGTCTGATTATAAAAAACTGCATTAGAATGTTTTACTGTAATATTAGGCAATTATAGTGCTTTGTTAGGATTAAACTAACTGAAGGCAATTCTAATCATTTATTAATAGCAATTATGGAAGTTTCATAATTCTGATCAAATATATTTTTATACTCAGACTCAAGTACTTCTGCAAAATTATGTAATATTCCTGTAAGCATGTAGTTCTCACGTTGATAACTTGTCTGACTTTCTCAAACTTTTGCCAGATGTTTATTTTTTTGTATATCACAGCATGATCCATCAATGAAATGAGTGCCATACAGTATCACTGGAAACGTAATTACTGTACATTAAAGGCAAAAACAAATTAAAAAATTCATTGAATTCTTTTAAGCATTTGTGTTTGTTTGACCAAAACCCTTTGGCTGGAGGTATATACAGAATAGTTTTTTGCAGGATATACTGTGGAATATGGGTACATGGAAAGTTAGCCTTTTCATTTTTCTTTTAGTTCTCTCCACCAGTGTCAGAAGGGTTAAAGGCAGGCAGACTTTCGAGCAGTTTGCGCAATGAATTCACTAGGGATGTTTGTTCAATGATCCGTGTCCACACAATGAACCCCACGAAGAGTGAAAGGGAGCATGTGTGTTTTCAGATTGTTAAGCACTATCCATTTTTGGCAGACACCTTGGGTTGTGGCATAGTAAGTACAATCATCTAAAACACTTGTAGACAGATGTCTTGCAATTGCTGTATCGTATCTGCTCGACTAAGCGACCACCACCCTGTCTCTTATACACATCTAGATGTGTAGATTAAGCGACCACCACCTAAAACCATGGAACACTTTAATAAAGGAGATTATCTTATCAAGAACTACAATATTTTTATAAGAAATTCATCTCCAATACAAACATTTTCATGTTGTTTGAGAAACTAGCAATGCACCTTGCAGTCTTAAAGGAACAAGTGCCACTAAATTTTTAAGTTTCTATAAAGCCAAGTTGAAATAAGCACCCCTAAAATCAATAACAATTTTAAAAGCTCCGGGCACTTACTAGAGTACTGTAGCTGAAGGTAGGTAAATGTCGAAATCCAACTAGGGTTTTTTGCAGCATTGTTGAGTTACCTTGTTCATTGTCACAAGGTATTCACATTTTATCTTAAGGTAACATTAACTTGCAGTGAAGTTGAATTATCTTTACTTTGTTTAAATTTTTTTTTTTTTGTCTTATGCTTTAGAGTTCTTGGCAATCAGCGATTAAATATAGATTCAAGAACCTAAGAAAAACACGACAAGTTTCCTCTGGAAATGGGACTGCAGTAGGAAAGCCAGAGATGAAAAAAAGAAAGTGTGAGGCGGTCGATACAGAAAATGGGGAGACAGACGAAACATGCAAGGAGCATGTACAACAGTTGAAGAGGGAGATGTCGAAGTAAAGCCACCGCAACTATGGGTTGATAGGCAATTTAATGGAGGCCACGTATATGAACCGACGTAAAAGAATTCTTGAAAATCCAGTGTCAATAAACAACGTCGTGCAGGAATATCCTGCAGTTAGTGTCAGAGGTATGTAATTACTACAGTAGTTCTTATGTAGATATTGGATTGTTTGGCCTTCTCAGTCCTCTCCAGAATTGTGTTTTTCTTTTGCAGCATAATTGTAAAATAAATTCATTTTATATTTTTGTTGTATTATGGTGGTCAGTAATATACCAGGTAATGTGGATTTGCTATATACAGTGTGCACCAGATTGTTTTGATTTGTGACATAATTTTCTGGTAGACCAGTTAAATGTATAACCAAATGTCCTAGCATATGCTTGTAAACACTATTTGCATGTAAACCTATTAGAATAAATTTGGACAATTTTTTGTTATGTAGACAAGTTGTTAGCCATGCTGATAAAGACCTAAGTGTGACACAGTTAACATGTCATCGGGCTCTTTGCAACTTGTAGCATTAGTAGGTAACTTTGTCTGTGAAAATTGAATTTATGACTATATAAATAAATACAGGAGACTCAGGACTCTTTGGAAATGTCACGTCATAATATTATTATATAGTTTGCCCGAAATGGAAACCCCCCACCCCACAGCAGTGCCTTATATTCATATGAATATTCTTTTTCCATTTTCACATCCTCACTTCTCTAACACAATACTGATACATATTTTCTTACAAATTTATTTGTTGCTTTAAATGTCAAAATAAATCCATCATTTTTTTTTTCATTTTCCCTTTTCAGATCAAAGCTGAATTTACAAGAATATTAGGAAAGGAGAAAATAGTTAGGAATATGACAGCTGCCTTTAACACCATGCAGTCAAATGTATTTCGCGGATATGGTGGGTGCCCATGAACCAAAATTTCATGATGTAATTTACATGAGAAACAAATAAAATATTCTTTTTTATGTTGATGGTTTGAGGTTCTGTATAACAATTTTTGCTGTAACAAATCAAACAGATTTGTCAAACAGTACAATATAAACACTATCTTTACTGTTTAACTTTATTATTGACATTAATTTTAATGTTACTGCATCCACAGAAATAGAAGGGATGGCTTGCCTCATCGCTGTCCCCATACTACTGAGGGAAACTGGGCCAGACAGCGCTGTGCTGAAAATTTGCTCAGTAAGTAGTATTCAATTTTGTAAACAATTTTCGAGAAAAAAAATAATTAAATACAAATACCTAAAGCCCTTTTGATAGCCTTTCGTAAAAGATCAAAATGCTGAGCATTTATATTATTCTACCTAATATAACCACACACAATCGTTAGAGTGTTAGTAGTACTGTAATATAAACACTATAATTGTAGCAATATAGAAATGGGGAATAAATTATTTTCATTTTAAAATAGAAACCAAGATGAAATGTTATTAGCAAAATGGTGTTAGGCTGCATGACTTAGAGTAGAGTGTTGGAAAATGTTTGTCCCAGTTAATAAATACCCTGTTCGAATAAGCGTACAACAATAGGGAATGGTTTTTCGTCCCAATTGACTAACCTCACCTTTTACATTGTATACCACATACAGTATTTCGAATGATGCTCAAGTGTGCAAATATATTTGGATTTTAACGCTTGCATCTTAGCCTAAAATTTGAGGCATACAACAATCGTTCACACTTCCGAATATATATTTTTTTTAATTTAGTGCAGTTATATCCAGTAAATTTGGATTATCAGATCAATAAAACATTTTTTATCAGAGGACTCTAATTACAGTTGAACTGCCTAAATCGACTCTGCATAAGCCGAATAATTTCTAAGTCGATCTTATTTTACAAGCCAAATTATTGTGTTTTCCATTAATTAACAATCTGTAAGTCGAACAATATTTCAATGGCATTTTGGATTCGACTTCGGCAAGTTCAACTTCTGTATATACAAAAAAATTATTGATACACAACAATGGAGGTGATGATGCCCTACACATTTTCAATAATCACCATAAGTTTTCCCTTTTGAATAAGTTTATATGAATATATAATCACAACATAATGGGTTATGAACAGGATTGATTGTAGTAAAATACATACATAAACCTAGGCTGGGTCTGCCTAACTAAAAGTAATAAATTTTGATTTCTAAGTTAATAAAAATCCTCCCTCCCTTCTCACTTTTCGGAATGGACGAATGATGAACTTTTATTTCCTATGGGCCTATTGCAATGTAATAAGTTATTTGTAATTGTTTTCAGATTTGTATCAGTTCCTTGTTCATTTTTGTTTTTGTTTTGATTTCTATTAGGAGAATGAATCCATTGATCAGAGCATTAAGCAGTCTATTTTTCCACGGCTGGTGGGGTCTGGCAGCCTTGAAGATATTGATCCTCTTTACATTGCTGCGGATGGAAAAATTATTTCAAAGCTAAGTGGCTTCAATGTTGACGCGGCAGTGGCCATAGCCCTTCTAATGGGTGCTTTTATATTTTCAACGTCCTGTACCCAAACAAATCCAAAAATACGTACATCTTTTTGGAATCAAAAATGCTTCAAAATAAAACAAAGGAAGCTAACAAGCGTGTAATAGTACAAAAACTATTAAAGGAGCTAGAATAACTGCCGAACCATTTCACATTGTACCTAGCTTGGTGTTTTTAAAAAAGATATTTTTAAAATTGCAGTTCAATCTAATAAAAAAAGTCTCGCCTAACATGTATGAAGTTTAGATGTGATTGGTTCTCACTAATAATATTTCCTGGGAATGAGTTTCATACTTCCATTATCCTTGTAGTCCATGATTTTTCAATGTCCTTTGACCTGGCAAGCCTACAGCATGCTGTATAGGCCTAAATATATTTCAAAATAAATGTGACATGGCCCTATGCATGCATATTTATTATGTAACAGTATACCTATACCTAATGGAAAAGACTTCCCTAAAGTTTGTTGGTATTTGTATTTAAGAAATGTTTAAAAATATAAGGGCACCAAAGTATTTTGTGTAGTTTTTTGTTTTATTTATTTGTAGTCTACTCCAGTTACTTTTAAGGAGTTAACATAACTCCTGAAGTGGACTTCATATAACTCTAAAAGTGGAGTTAATAAAAAAAGGTACAGAACGACTCCTTTTCTAGAGTAATATTTACTCTAATATATTTACTCCCCAAAGGGAGTAATACTAACTCCAAAAAGGGGGTGATTCCAACTCCTTTTTTGGAGTTAGTATTACTCCCTTTAGGGAGTACATATATTAGAGTAAATATTACTCCAGAAAAGGAGTCGTTCTGTACCTTTTTTATTAACTCCACTTTTGGAGTTACATTAACTCCTTGAAAATAACAGTGTAAAGTATTCATTTCAAACCATCCGGAATAGGAATCTACGAGCACCAGGTAATGCTTATTGTTCCACTCAAATATATCTGTGGCAACAATCGTCCATGGTAGATCTGGAATGTTATGTAAAAGTAAGGGCTCCTTGGCTTGATGTGCCTTTAGGGCATTACATACCTGGCCGCACATGGATCTCCAATAGACAATTTCCCGTGCTCTGCGTTTTGTAGCTTCTATTCCAGGATGTCCTTTGTGTAGTATTTGTGTATATGATGACTGGACAGAGCTAGGAATTATGCTTTTATGTCCTTTCATAACTATTCCATTGTTTACTGAGAGTTCATCTCTGAAAGTAAAACTTCGTATTTCTGAAGGGCACGACTTTGGAGTTTTTGGCTATCCCTTAAGTATTGTGTTAATTAACAACTGTAGAGTGCGATCCTCTTTCGTTGCACTTCGCAGCTCTTCCTGTTTAGCATCAGAGATGTGCGATACTTCCATGACTTCATACAGATAATCATCATCACCAGTATCTGTAGTAGGTGCTCGTGATAAGGTGTCTGCCAAATATAGCTCAGCACCTTTCTTGTATACCAACTCAAAGTGGTATCTTTGTAACTGCATTAGTAATTTATGCAGACGAGCTGGTGCTTTGTGAAGTGGCTTCTTCACAATGGGTATCAGTGGTTGATGGTCTGTTTGTATGGTTATTTGTTTCTCATATATGTACTGATGGAATTTCTTTGTTGCAAACACTATGCTTAACAGCTCTTTTTTATTTGTGCATAACGCTCTTCGGTTTCTGTCGTTGTTCGTGAGGCAAATGCTATTGGTTTACCATTTTGGAGGCATGCACAGCCTAAACCATACTGGGATGCATCGCATGTAAGGGTTAAGTGTTTGGTCACATCGTAATATGCAAGGACTGGTGGGCTTCTTATCATACTTTTAAACTTCTCAAAAGATTCCTGCTGATGTGGTTGCCAACACCATTGCGTGTCTTTGTGTAACAACTGCCTTAAGGGTGCTGCTCCTTCACTAAAGTTCTCTATGAATTTCGAAAGATAGTTTGCCATACCAAGAAAACGGCTTAAAGCTTGTGTATCCTTTGGAGCTGGCATCTCGCATATAGCCTTTATCTTCTCAGGATTAGGTTTTATACCATTGTCGGTTAGAAGGTGTCCAACATAGGAAACCTGACTCTGTTGAAACTTGCATTTGTTTTTATTCAAGCGGAGTCCAACCTTCTGAATTCTCTGTAGCACATCCTTTAAATTCTTGTCACGCTCGTCTAGATCTTTACCAGTGAATAGCAGGACATCCACAATTATCTCACAAGGATATCCTACAAAGAGTATTTCCATTGTGCGTTGAAATACTTCTGATCCACTATTGATACCATATGGCATTCTAAGATACCTGTATCAGCCAAGGGGAGTGTTGAACGTAGTTAACTTTGAAGATTCTTCATCTAATGGTACCTGCCAAAAAGAATTTTTAGCATCTAAGACCTTAAATACTGCGGCATTGGCTAAATTTCTAGTTATTTCCTCAACAGTTTTCATTGGATGATGGGGTCTCTTCAGAGCAC